AAAAAAAAACTTCCGAAAAATTGCGTAGGTTTAGATTTCTTTTTACCAAACAAACGAACGAACAAGCGAATAACTTTTGAACTCTTTGCATCCACCAGGTATTCATCTACAACCAGTTTGCAACCAACTTCAGTCGGTGGCAGAACGAGGGCGACGCGGACAACGCGCCAGTACACGTCGCGTACAACGTGACAAACTTCGAGTTCCTCTACGAGCCGTTCTACGTCGCGAGGGACACGATACCCGCCCACGACGAGCGGTTCATGGGCTACGGCTACACGAGGAACACGCAGGCAAGACACCCCACCTCCTCCCACCCCCTTGGCACAGTCCTACCTGAGCTTACCCAGTTGATAGATGAATGCCCCCGTGCTCGGGCCCCCCACAGGTGTACGAGATGTTCGTGGCGGGGGTGCAGTTCCAGGTGCTGTCGCCGGCCTTCACGGTGCACTGGGGGCTGCAGAGCAAGCAGGCCCGCCCGGCTTGGAGGGAGCTGCAGAACAACGAAAACCGACGGCACTTCGACCTGTTCAAAAGGGAGGTGGCGGTTCGATACAGGCGGTAAGTGACTGGAATCGAAAGGTTGCGTCGCGGCCGCACAGTGAGGCGGACGGAGTCTGCGGTGTACTTACTGACTGGCGTGACTGACCTGGCTGTGTGTATGCTTCACTCCGCAGGGATCCTTTGAGTATGGTCCAGCCGAACCGTGCTTCTGGCAAAACCTAGACCCTCAGGTCGAGGAGGCTCTAATCCAGTCCCACGTCATCGGTGACCTAGTGCGGCGTATCACGGGCGTCGACACCAGGACCTTCTTCCTCACTCCCACCAAGTTCATCACTATCGCCCTATCGCCTCTGAACTAAGATAACTAGGGGAGACTGGCCTGGCACCTGAGTCAAGCGCAGTCGGGAAACTGGTGGGTTTCTTCTAGCCAGCGGCAACGTCTTTCTGTCTCGCTCGCATTTCACCCACTACACGAGACAGAATACATATTAATGATCTAGAGCTCACCAGTTCCCCTTCCTTGCATTGTTCCAAACGTGCGAATCACTATACCTGACGACGGACACATGTGTAAAGTATTCCAGCATTATTTCGATGTATATTCTCATAGGGTCAGTGATGAATTTCTTCTCACGAGTAGTCCTAGTTGATCCGCGTGCACGCAAAAGCCGCGAATGAATGTACCTTACCGACTTACGGTTTTAAAAGAAAGTGTTACATAGACGGTATTCGCAGGATCGTCTCATGATTTATTTCAGACTTTTCTGATGAACTGACCAAAAATAAAAACAAGTTTCAATTAGATGTTTAAAAAGCCAAGATGCCCAGGCCCTTAAAAGTCCTGTCTGATTTCTGCTTGAACAGTGTGCTTTCTTAGATGTATCTGATTTTTACACCAAACAATCTGAATAGCAGTAAGTAGCTAACTGATGTGATCAACATGATTTGAGAGCGGTTCTTTAATTTTTTGTGATTCTGTATGAAGTTTTAGTGAGTGCTTCTACACTATATTAAGAAAACACATTATTGTGTTCGACTGCTTCAATTTCACTCCAAGGAGTTGTACAGTGTAATTTATAGTAGTTACCTTGATCAATGGGTCATGTGATACACATAAATATGTATATTATTGTTATATTTCTTTAAATCTATGTCTATGGGAAGCAAGTGCCTGAAGCCCTGAGTTCCTAAATATTGTTGCCTTGCATTCCTAGGTTGTGTGTTTGAGGGGCACTTGTCTCAGATATATTTGAAACGAAGACATACAACAGTCTTTAAGAATGAGAAGGACTTTGCATTGCATTTTAACTTTGAAGTAAGAAAATTTTTGTGAATTCTAGTGTTCCTTATTGAGAAGCAAGATGAGTGCTCCAAATCCTGGAAATATTGTGAAATACCTAACATCATAACATATTGCATATTTTCCTATTTTATGTTTTAATCAAGAACCAATATTTTTGGTGTTTAGATGTGTGTTTGGTAGTTCATGTGATGATACATAAATAGTTGATCTAACCTCTGAGAGAATTACAAGAGAGAAGGTGAATCTGAAGACAGCCGCCAAGGCCACAGTGACACTTGGAATTACCTGTCTGATAACAAGAATACATTTCAGAGGCAAGAAACCTAAAACCAAATTGTGTGATGGCAGTGTTTGCACCATCAAAGGTTATAAATTGTGGTTATAACTTAAATAAATGAAAATTTTGACAAAAATGTGCCAAAAATTTAAGAACCATCACGTGTTTGGCAGTAAGGAAAAGTAAAACATAGCTCACTGATCATAATACATTAAAAATAGATATTTATTTACATCCTAATGACACTACATTATTAACCCCATGGGAGAAGTTGGAACATCTGACGCTTAAAAATGACTTCTTGCTCTAAAATGCAGCAGCTAAGTAATGCTTTCCTAAACATTTATTTAGTCAGCAATATTGAGACACTTGCTCAAACACATTTAAAAAAAGGAACAAAATAGAAAATGAGATAGAAGACAGGAATAAAAAGGAATATTTCCCCCTGCATCCAGATAAAAAAAAATCTAAATTTTCCCTAAACAAAATTGTATTAAGAATATCTGCGAGAAATTCATGGGAACAAAACTACCTCTCCTGCAAAGCCAAGCAGTACCAGAAATTACGGTAAGTGACTGAGTTGTGCATGAAACTTGAAGAATGCTGATTAAGTAATTCATTGAGTGCATTCCTTGGTATAACAAGGGGCATTGATGTGAGCAAAGTTTTGTAAATATTTGAAAAAGAAAGGCCACAAAGGACATTTGTGATTTACACCATACAACAATTCAAAAATTGAATGCTGCCTTAGAAAACACATCACAATTACAGAAGTAACACTTATAAGTAGCGCACACACACAGGCACACAAACATACACTCTCCACACTTAATTCATCTACCATGTACTTATCATATCACACACAAATTGGCAATGGTTTGCTGAAAAAAGCAGCATGTCCTTCACAATGCCAAACTGTGTTGGACACTGTATTGTGTACTTAAGGTGCAGGAGTCACCATCGTACTTCCTATTTGAAAGGGCATTGCCGTCTTCAATTCAATGATTGGAAGCAATACTGAATCTTTATGTCAATTAAAATGATTATCACCAGGTATTTCGATACAAGAGTGTCTTTTCCAGGCATTCTTGGAGATGGAGAATAACTCCAGATGCTTACTCAGTAAGTCTTTTGAGGGATAAAGACTCTCTCCCTATCTCGCACCAAACCAAAACATGAGGGGTGAAAAGAACGGAAGAGAGTAGTTACCATCACCTTGACAATGAATGACTGCGTTCTCGTCCGTTATCACCAGAACCCGAGCCAAGGTTTCTGTGTTCACCTAACCTAAGATCTTCAGGAATCTTGTCAAAGAAGGGATGATTTAAAGCTTCTCTCAGAGTAACACGAGTGGCAGGATCATACTCCAGCATACGAGAGATCAGGTCGAACAGCAGTCGATGGTCTTCACTGTCTGAGTTTTGATAACGCTAAGAGATGGGAAAATAAAACGTATTAGTGTAATAGTGTAGAGACGCAAGATTAATAGATATTAAATATGTTACTTACGTGCAAAGGCCTGCAGTTTTCCCTAACATAACGTCCTGCGGAACTCTTCTCATCCCACTCAAGCTTCCCATGATAGAAGTACTTTGTTTTTGTCTTTCTAGCCATTCTGAAATGCAGAAAAATATAAAATTTGAGTATGCTGAGAGGTTAAATTTCATTGAAAGACGGAAAAATTATCTTGATTTGGTGCTGTAAAAAGGTTAAGAATAACTTTCTTTACCTGTATGGAATAGGTCCGAGGATCCGTTCCATCATTGCCAAATGTTCCCTGTTATCATGTGTTTGGAAGAGAGTGATGCCTAGGTACAATTCAAACATGATGCAACCAATAGACCACACATCACAGGGCTGCGACCATCCTAACTCTGAAATTTAAGATGTTAACAAAATTAGGAAATAAACCACCAGCAATTATAGCAGCAAGCTGACTTATGACTAAGGTTAGGCAACTACCTAGTAAGACTTCTGGAGCTCTGTAGTGTCTTGTAGAAACTATAGTGCTATGGTGTTCATGGTCAAATGTTGCACTTCCAAAATCTATAAGGCGCACATCTGTTTTCTTGACTCTCCGTACATCACGATTCTATAAACAAAGAAGACAAAAGATTATTTTAATCATAGAAGGGGTAACTTAAGTCTGAACAGACTTTAAAAAGGACTTACCTTTTTGGTGTAGGTGATATCAAAATCAGAGTCCACAAAAAGGATGTTTTCAGGCTTGAGATCGGTGTGGGTCAACTTATTATCATGAAGGAACTTTACAGAATAGCACAGCTGGTAGGACATGTGTCGAACCTGATCCAATGGATATGGTTGATAGTTGTTGTCTTTCTGTAAGAGTAAAGAAATCAAGCAATATGAAAGCAATGCTCCAGTAAGGTACAAAAAACAAACTAAATAAATTAGATTAGTGACAAAATTCTTACCAAAAAGTCAAACACACTGAGACCCAACATCTCAAATGCGATGCAGACGTGACCATGGTAATCAAACCATGTCAACATTTTAACACAGAGGCTATGGAAGGAAAAACAAAAATTAGTAGAAGAAACAAACAGTTATTTTTATCTGACAAAAGAAAAGTATAAAACATACTGCTTTGCATCGGGATCCCTTTCAGCAATTTTCTCCAATGCATTGATTTCCAGCTTGGCAGCTTCCCTATATTTTTCAACATTCTTTATGATCTTCAAGGCCATAGTGCCATCCCTAGAAACAAAAAACAAGATAAGGTCACTCCTACTAAAAAATACAAAAAAGTGAGTAATAGAGGTCTTCAATCTAATACTGAGAAATGTACACCAAAGAAGTTGGTAATGAAATAGGCCAATAATAAATTCTAACTTTAAAAAATAAACACTACTATGTTAAGACTCAATGTATAATTAACAAAAATTAATTAAAATAAACAGCTTTAAGTAAAATTACTTCTGCAGCTAACACAGACAACATGAAAAGAAATACAACTTACTTGTGCAGATCTTTAACCTTGACCACCTTGCCAAAAGTGCCTTCACCAAGGGTAGCCAGGATTTTATCTGTAAAAGAAAGGACCATAGTTTGTCAAAGACCTGTGATTGGTAGTGTGCCAATCTACTTTTGGAATGCCGCAACACTATCTTTTCAAAAATACTGTTTGTAGCTTGAAAAGATTTTATCAAATAAACGGAAAATGTTCTAAAATGAGGTGAGACTTGTACTAGAAGTGGCACTTTACAAGAATGGAATCTAGTTCTTGCAGAAAGAAGATTACTGAGAATTGCGGTGTGGGCATTCCAAAAAAAAAGATAAGCACATTGATATGTCATTCAATGTTATGTTACTTGTTCAGGAATATCAGATTAATGAATTGGGGAGTTAAGAAAGATAAGAATAAGTTGAAAATAATTTAAGGCATGCAAAGGACCTTATTAATGGGAAAGAACTTCCAGAGAAATTAAACTTGAAAAATAATAATTAAAAAAAAATGCATTGACACATAGAATTTTAAGAAATTGAATATCTTAATCTCATATTATTGCAAATGTTTCTAAGCAAACTAGACTTCAGAGAATAGATCTTAAAAAAGAAAAATTTACTTGGAAAATGCAGCTGTTTGAATAAATATACAACTGTAGAAGTCTAGTCTACTTTTGAGGAAACGAAGTCTTCGAGTTTATAAAAGATTTGTGGGTTTAAAAGGGAAAAGCAATGATATCTCTGGACGAAGCCTTTGGAAGTCTGTTTGTTCTCTCGATAGAACACGAAAGGGTGGGTGAGTTCTTCAGGGATTTGCTGTTATGCTCTTGACTACTTCAACTGGAGAAGTCTGAGTACTTTACCACGGAATGAATTATTTCTTTTAAGAAAAGTATTCAATCGGCATAAGACACATCACAGCAAATCCCTGCTTTTTCTTAGGCTAAGATTACAGCTACTTTAGGTGTGTGTTGGTATTCACGAACATCGGTCTTGCAGGACATCGCCATGGCGATAAATCAGATGGCCGTCTTCATCATCTTCCACTGATGGGGCCCGAGAGCTCTGTAGTCATCAACAATCCAACCAATCCATCCAGCATCCATCCATCCAGCATCCAGGTCCGGTCCAGCAACGCCAGCCAATCACAGCATTGTTCCAAGGCAGCATCATCCATCCCCACGGACGGATTGAACAGGAACGGCAGGGCGGGGCGAGGCGTTGCGAAGGTGGGGCGAGGCGAGGCGCGAAGGTGGCGGACCACAGAGAGCGAAGATGTCCAAGTCGGGTTGAAGTCGAGTGGAGTGGAGTGGGTCAGCCAATGTATTGTCGCCATAATAGCGAGAGCGACCCAATAATCATAGAGACAAAGGGGAGAGGGCAAAAGTGTATTTGCCATGTCAACAAAGTATATTGTCAACAGTGATTGACAGACATGGGGAACAACTTTTACTTCTTTTTTTTTCTGTTCTATCAAACCCATTACTAAAATAATGCGTCTCACATACATGAGCATGATTTTTTTTTTAAAGAATGATAAAATAAAAAAAAAAAACGTAAATAAAAAAGGACTACACACACTTGGAATTAAAAGTGAATGGGTTTTACTTTTAAAAGGGAGAGGGGAAATTCAAACAATGAACCCATGTCTCATTCATTGTTGACAAAAAGCACATGTCACAACACATAATCAAGATAAATGGCTATTTCACTGTCTCAGAGCAAATTTTACTTTTTAATCGAAATAAAAATTTGAAAATGTATTACTTCATCGTAT